ACGCTAAATGTCTTAAACATATATACATTAATAAGAACATTAAGAAATGCGCTAAATCAAATCTACGCTAACTTGTTCAAAAATCAATTTCCGCCAAATATTGTACACGCTAAATATAATACATTTACAGTAACTCCTTTGTTTTGTTTGTTTGTATACTGTATTGTTTATATAACGTCCCTCTCGAGAATTTTTTACTCATATGGAGACGCCGGTACTTGCCGGTGGAGAGCTGCAAATTTTGTCCTATACTTGGCACTCAAGGCCATTGAGCAGTGAGAAATCGTTTTCGTGCCATCACCTACTGCGACATGGGACCTCGGTTTATACGGTATCATCCGAAGGACTGGTCTCCATGTCTCGCAGTGAGATTCAACTCCTGGCTTGAAGCAACGGGGACAATGCCCTTCTCGTCCTGGATATTAGATTTTGTGCTAGCGTTTTGATTAGCAATTGCTGAGTCTTATCCTGCTGCTTTAGTCAATCTCTCTCTTATTTCGGCCTTGGATGTGGTTTAGAAACTGGTAATATACATTGTTTTCTTGGCTTTCTCCCTAACCCTAACCCTGCAGGCGACTACCACTATGGGAAAAAATTCGTTTTAAAAGCTACAGTCCCTAGCCCTAACCCTAGCCCTAACTAACCCTAACCCTAACCCTAACTAACCCTAGCCCTAACCCTAACCCTAACCCTAACCCCTAACCCTAAGTAACCCTAACCCCCTACCCCTAACTAACCCTATCCCCCTAGCCCTAACTAACCCTAACTAACCCTAACTAACCCTATCCCCCTAGCCCTAACTAACCCTATCCCCTAACCTATCCCTAAATACGGGGTGTGTTTACATTGGTACGTTGGTACTACGTTTTTGTTTTTATGCTGACTATACAGGTAAAAATGCGCCGTGTGCAAAAAACATTTCAAGAATGTGATTATGACGTCACGCATTCACAGTCTAGACAGTCCTATAACCGGTTTGAACTGGTTTTAGTGAAAACAAGAACACACACACACACAAACAAAACACAAAGAAGACAGCAATTTTATGAAAATTTTATACAATATACAATTTTCTTCTTAATTTTTTCAACAATTTCCAGCTTTTTTTGGTTTCCCTAGTTTTTTCTTCAGTCTTTTACCGATAAATAGCATGCTCCATCTGAATCATACAAACTTCAATATCTTTCATCATTTTTGTGTTTGTGAATGACTTTTGATTGGTGTTTAATATAACAAAATCCACTGCTGTTTTTTCAGTTTTTCCATCTTTTTTCAAGAGCAAAACACTTGGTGTTCAATTTATTCACCTTTCATCCACATCATTCATCTTGGTTCCATTTGTATTGTATAAGTTTGTTCACTAGATGATCTTCAATTCCGTCCAAATGGTATTTAAAATAACCATCTTCTTTATTCATTCTTTCAGGAAAATCTATACTGTCCAAATTCAAATCCAATTCCACGGCATCTTTTATTAGATTCTCTGCCATGGGAGCTCCTATAATCTTCAGGTGTCCATAATACTGGGAATTTTCTAAACCAGTATCATCATTGCTTCTATTTCTTTTCATTCTGTGTTTTTTACTTTTTCAAAATGATATTTCTCCAGCTGCGTTTATATATGCTATGAGCCGTGTGCACCTTTTTACCTGGGCTTTATATACCTGTTATATCATCTGTAAAGGACCGTGTGCAAAAAACTTAGGGACCGTGTGCAAAAAAAAAAAAAATACGTTTTACCTCCGTTTTCTTATATACCTGTTTGCATCACCTATAAAGTGTCGTGTGCAAAAAACTGAGGGTCGTGTGCAAAAAGAAATATACCTTTTACCTGTGTTTTCCTTATATTTACCTGTTTGCATCCTCTATAAAATGCCGTGTGCAAAAATACGTTTTACCTACGTTTTTTTATGCTGACTACACAGGTAAATACTTGGCAGCGATTCAAGTTTTGTTTAGGGCCGTGTGCAAAAACTTGGCAGCAACCTACGTTTAGAGACCGTGTGCAAAAAATATGCTGACTACACAAGTAAATACTTGGCAGCGATTCAAGTTTGTTTAGGGCCGTGTGCAAAAAATATGCTTACCTATGCATTGTGACGTCATCCATGTCAGCGAGCTACCCTATGCATTATGACGTCATACACTTGTAAAAATGACGTCATACACTTGTAAATTAAAGTTTCATTTTCACTTTTGTTTCTAAGAAGTCAACTTAGATTTTCAAAAAATGTAAGACTATCTTTTGTTTTTCCTCTGTTTTACTTTGATGATTGTTATGTTATGAAGCTTTTCTTGTATAAAGCTCAATTTCTCCATGACCACGGAAGTAAACATCCTGATGCATTCTTGTCATGTGAATGTTGAGAGCGTGTTCATTTTTGAAATCTCCTTTCTGACAGACCTATCCCACGGGTAAGTTTGTCTTATTTTTGTTTACATTTCCTATGAAGATCATCTAAATGCATTTAATCATTATTATGTAAAGTTCTATTTTGAATTTAAATACTGTATTTATCCTCATTTCATGTGATTTACAGTTATATAACCTGCATGTAACTCAGAGTGCATTTAATATTTGTATGATGGGTCATTCTATGATTGAATTTCAATCAGAAAAATATTCACTTAATTTTGGTAAAATACATGGTATCTTTTACATTTCTGTTCCTTTTATCTGTAAATTATTGCTTTACTTACATTGTAAAATGAGGTTAATTTGTGTATCACTGAATTGTATGATTTTTTTTCAGGATCAGCTGAGATGTTATTTCACTGGATTATTTAATGGATAGACTTATTGGGCATATATTTGGATATCTCTGGTAAGTTTATCTTGTTTTTTATTTGTTTACATTTTCCTATGAAGGTCATCTTTGCATTTCAGCATTTTTATATGGTTAATTTAATGACTGTGTAATACTTATGTGATCTGTTATCTCTAACTTACATTCATATAAGCACACCCTTATTTAACCTAAAATATATTAACACATGATTAAGGGATCTTCAGAATATTATTAAATCCTTTTGTGTAAATTATATGACATAATTTCATAATTCATTATGTATGTTACACATGGAATTCAGACTCACTAAATGGTGATCAAAGAGATATTAATTAGGAATCTAATAAGAGAAAAGGAAGGAATTTACAAAAGATTAATCCTAAGTCATTTACTTTTTGTTTTAATTCTAAATATGTGTGATATATGGCATACATATATTTTCATTTTCACTTTTGTTTCTTAAGCTTTTCAAAAAAAAAAAAAAATGAAGGACTACATGTTGTATATGCTAAAAAAGATGTATTTTTCTGTATGCAGTACAGATAGGTATTAAACCAATATTGAATCTGCTGTTAAGAAAAAAGTCTTTTAGTGTCTAAATAATTAATTTGATAATCATTTTATTTTGTGGTATTAATACATTAGTTGTGCTTGTTTATTATCTATAAATAACATGATGAACTTTTCTCATCTGGAGTTAATGTTAAAAACAATTTTTTGAGATTAAAAACAAATATTTTCATGATCTTTTTTGACATTGTACATGTTGTATTTAAACATGCATTGTTTCATGCAGTACTCTGTCATATTAAAAAAAATGGTTTTATTTTTACAGTCCTCAACATGGAAAATATGTTTTGTTCCTAACCATCTATAATCAATTCTCTATGAAGTTCAGCCTGGCTGCTCTTCCTTTGGAAATACACAGTTAGTCAATCAACATAGAAACACACAAACTTGAAGGTAAAGTTTCAATGAGATACAATTGTAACTTTTATTAATTAATTATTTTTTTTTTTTTGTTACATATGCATGTTTATATTTTTGAATTGATAAATAAATGATATATTTAAATAAAGAGGGCTTGGTGGTCATGGTCATGTTTAAACCATATTGATATCCTTCACAAGAAAAGGCATAAAAATTCATGATCAAATTTTAAAACTAAAATGTATGAAGTTTTTCTGTGCCAAATGATAGTTAACAGCTAAAGATAGCATATCTATAGAATAAGTTAAATATGGCTAATTTGTTAACCCCAGTTTCCTTAATAGCATAGTTGGTAAAGATAGCAAGTTTTCACTTCAATTGCTGGTGAATTCTGAATTTTCCATTTAATATTAACATTATATCACAGGGAAAGAATACTATAATGTGGTTCATTAGGATGACCAGAAAAGAAATCTTAATGACCCTTATGACTATGTATAAAGTCTGTAACCTTATAACTGATGTAAGATGACCTGATTGTTTGGAATTAAAATTTCCTGGTGTTTCTATTACCCAAGATCTTCTTATGAGTGCATGGGACTGTTGTAACCCTTCTCCTGTTTATAAAAATAATACCTTGGAGCATGACACTTTATTCATTTAAGGTACTTTCAATATCATTTCTATGAGTTTGTGTTCTTTTTCTTTTTAATAATCTAGTGTTATATCTCCTTTACCCTAATTAATATGCATGCTTCCAAAATCATTATAGATCTGTCTGTATAGTTTCTTCAGCTCTTTGAACACAAATACCCTGATTCAAACTTTTGAGGTAAACATCATGGAGACATCATAAATGATTATCAGAGTGTATATATCACAATCTTGACCATAAGGTCAATTAAAATGGTCAAAAGCACAACAAATGAAAGTGAAAACTTTCTTATCAGAATACATAATTTTGTAATAGTAATTCTTACCTTCTTTTGGTAATAAATGGTTATATTCTTCATTAGCTTCTTCTGCAATCAAGGATCTTTCTATGTAATCTCTGACAACATTAGGATCATCCTTTTCTGGACATAATTGGTTATATTCTTCTTGAGAAATGATCTCAATAATGCTATCTTTTTTTTATTTTAACCGGTATACCTCTGTCTACATCTTTCTCTGAAAGAACTCTCTTTTCAAACTGAATTTTACTCATTCCTTTACTCTTTTCTTTACTGGAGGTGTTACCCATGGTTAATATGAAAAGTCAAAATCTGATGTTACACCTTGTATTTATACCCTTTTTTATCTATATTTAGAATTCCATCAAGCTTATATTACATAACAAATTTTTTTTTCAACTAAGACATTATTTTTATTTTCCAGGATATTCTAGTGAGGGCTTGTGGAAATGATCTATGTCTACTCTCAGAATGGTGAAAGACTATCAGATTATGCAAAGACTAACAGAATATCCTCTTTTGAAACACTGAAACAAGAAAATCAAACAGGATGGAGGATTTAAGAAGCACATAGATAAATATGATTTCCAACCAATTTAACCAGTACCATCAAAGACTGTGGTTTACAGGATGACAAAGAAAGGACCCAGGATTGTATCTTTTACTGTCAGACACTAACTATGAATAAGATGTAGCCATTTATCAAACTGAGATCTATAGTCAAATCAAATATTGAAAATATGATTTTCTGATAGCATGAATTTATTCTCACCAACTTCAAAGTATCTATAGCTGACTTTTTATTTTTACCAACTCATATTGAAGACAGTTGTTATGTATGAGAAGTATACATTTAAACCTTTTATTTTTCATCTTATTTCTATAACCCCTTAGAAATTACATAGATATTCAGATGCTAAATTTGATGTAATTATTACTTTCCTGGAAATGTAAATATATTTTATTTGTGTATATGTGTGTATTGTGCCCTATAATTAAATTTAGAAATTGAAATATGATAAAGGTCCCTTAATATCCCACATCAAGATGCAGGTGCCCAATAATCTGTGATGCAATAATATCTTGAATATTATTTATTATCTCATACACTTCATATGCTTACTACACAGAAAAGGTTAGCGTAATACACTTAGTTTTATAGGACACTTTGTCAGGGTCAAAGCATGAGATTATTGAGATAACTACCTTTGACAATAATTTGCAAACTTTACATCATAAGATTTGCTATAGATTTTTGGATCATTTACTCCTGAGTAAAAGTTAGTTCCTGAGATTACTGATTTGAATCATTTAATGCAATAACTTCAACATTGTGTGATAACTTAAAGACTTTATAAAAATTAGGTGCAAATTCTTAGGAAAGTATTGAAATGTTAATCAAATGTACAATATTCAAGGGTGTTTATATGACTATTACTATGTAATACCTTGGGTTTCTGTAAAAATCCTATATTCACTACATAGATAAAGACCTGTATAATATATATGTTGAACTATGATGAAGGAAAAAAAAAGGTCAAAAGCTCTCCCCTTTCATTTCTTTCATATTCTGTCATACACAACAATAGATAAATTGCAGTCATTTATCAAACTGAGGTCTAATCAAATCCTAGAATTGATATTGTGATTTTCAGATAGCATGAGCTCTTTAAAAACTAATTCTCACAGACCTCAAAGTATCTACAGGTGACTTTTATTTTTTTTTTTTTTACCAATTCATATTGAAGACAGATGATATTGGATTCCGAAACTTCATAAGAATCCTTACAAACAAAGATACATTGCGGGTTCCAGTAAATGTTCAACCAAGCCTCTTTCGTTACTCCTCACTAAGATATTGACAGTAGTGAAGGAAAAACTTCAAGCGTACTGTGCAACTATTCAAGAAGTGGTGTGGATCAGATGTGGATGCTAAAAAATTCTAAAGAACTTTTGGACGATTTGAAACCACAAGATTTTACAAAAAATCAATAGCTTAAAAACTTACGACTTTTCAACTTTATATACAACAATTCCCCACGACAAATTAAAATCCAGGCTTTTTGAAATCATTGACAGCTGCTTCTTCAATAAAAATGGAACTCGTAAATTTACTTATCTGGTCATTGGTCATTTGCAAAATTATTTTGTTTAAACAGATTCTGATTGCACACACAAGTACTCTGAAGTTGACATCAAGAAGATGCTTGAGCTTCTGATTGACAATATCGATGTGTTTTTTTTTTTTTTTTTTTTTTTTTTTTGACCAGGTTTTCCAACAATTTATTGGAATTCCCATGGGTACCAACTGCGCTCCGTTATTAGCTAAATTTATGCAAAATCTTATGCGTGAAAAGAAGAAAACACTTGCTGTGGCCTTCAACTCGACTTTCAGATTTATCAATGACGTTTTGTCAATTAACAATGGTAATTTCCATTCCTACGTCGATACGATATATCCAGGAGAGCTTGAGATTAAAGACACGACAGAATCTGACACATCTGTTTCATACTTGGATATTTTACTTGAAAAAGACGTTAATGGTAACCTAACAACCAAGCTATATGATAAACGTGACGACTTTAACTTTTTTATCGTCAACTTCCCTTTCTTTTGCAGCAATATACTAGTACCTTCATCACCTGCATACGGAGTGTATATATCTCAGTTGATTCGATACACAAGAGCATGCTCTACGTATGAACAATTTCTAAAACGAGGTAAATTATTGACAAGCAAATTGATGAAACAAGAATATCAACAGTCTCGTTTAAAGTCATCATTTCATAAGTTCTATATGGTCGATAAAATGACCTTGTCAGCAAATACAATTTATCATTGAGTCAAATGCTGACTGACGTTTTTCATACCAATTGTTAGTCCGTTTTTATACACTGAAATGAATTGACGACGGATTATTCTGTTATTTCCTGATCATGACAAGGAGCCCACGGCGGGTGTGACCGGTCAGCAGGGGATGTTCACTCCTCCATGGCAGCTGATCCCACCTCTGATGTTTCGGAGGTCCGTGTTTGCTCTGCTCTTACTTTGTATTGTTTTATGGACTTTGAGATTGAATACTGTTCGTTATCTCCATATCCTTCTACAGTACCAGGCAGTTATCTCAGACTCAGAAAACTGGATCCAAGGGAAATACTGCTTGGAAGAAACGTGACGACTTTGAATCTTAACCTTAATAAGCCCATGGAACTCACTGTGATTCAGGATATCCACATCCCTTTCCAGACACTCTTGAATATAACTTCGAAATAATTTAAGTTGATAAACTCCATAGGTCAAGTGTCGGATTTCTTCACTGAGATTAGGGAATTCAAAAGAATCGAATGCAATTTCCCAGTTCACGGACCTTTTATCCAGAGAATTTTCCTCGACAAATGTCTTTAGAGGGTTAACTTTTTTAAAACTATTTAGCAGCAAGAATGCACCAGATTTTCATCTTCACTCCCAGTAGACAGAGGTTTGAGGTATCTATTAGAGATGTCGCATACGATTCTTATATAATCGCTGATAAATGGCACTTGGTTTGTGGGAAGCTCATGAGCAAGATATTTCTATCTCTTAATGCGTGCATTAGCTGCCTGAACCACCCAACGAATCTGTAAAGGGAAGAACGTGCAATATTGAGAAAAGGATATAAATATATTTTAATATAAACTAAGATAACATTAATGCCATGGAAAACAAACTAAAGTCAAAAGTTTTCCTTAAGTCTATCTATACAGGTTTTTTTTTTTAGGAAGACGTACATGTACATAATAATGTTTCATTGTTTAAAGCTTATGGTACTTTAAAGATAGAAACAACAAACCTTGGTAACAAGACGAGAAGCATTGGCATCTGAGGTGGTCATCTGCTTCTGCCCTCTACGTAGGAGGCGTGGCATCTCGGCTCTAATTCCCTTCTCATCCAGAAGGTCCAGTGATTCCCTAAAACCTCTGTCTGCTATGAAAAAATCATCTTCCTGGAACCAGCCCTTTAGAATCTTCCACGTTCGTATGAAGAATATGATTGAGGATGATGGCATCATTATTTCTAGCGAGGTATGGTCCAAGAACTGTTAGGAAATAGCCATCTGTAGATGTGAAAACCATTGGTTTAACAAGGGGCCTGCCTTTATGTAAACTGTAATTTGAAGTTGTTACTTTTCTGGATATAAATATAAGTTCCATCAAAAAATGCAATGGCTTTTTTCTCTGTAAAGTCTCCAAAAAGTTCCTGTGCTAGCGGTCTTGTATGATGCTCAATAAAATTTTCTCTGCTTATGTGATGAAGACCAATAAAATTAGGTTCAAATGGTTTCATAAGCGCTGTGCGAACTGATCGTACTGCTAGATGCAGAGGGACGACTTGGAGATGCCAAAGATTGTGGCAAGAAATTGGTTTGACATGCCTGACCGCAGTTTCAGGAGAAATATGCCTAGTGATACCCTGGTTCCACGATTCTGCGTAAAGAATGGAGGTCTTCAAAATTTTCTTTGGATATACCGGTCAATGTTGCGTAATCTGCAATGTTCATGCTTGATGGTTCAAAAGAAAATCTGCTCGTTGAATTTTGAATGGCGTAATTTCTAATTTTCTGGATGAATTCAAGAATTGTTCTGTTGACAAGTGTTGATTCCAAAGTGTGCAAATTATCAAGAGCACCAGGCCTGAATTCCCGATATTCAACATGAGATGGAAAGCATCTGCTTCCAAATGGAATAATGGAGGAAAGCTGTAAATCTAGCAGAAGAGGATACAACAAGCTTGGGTCCAGGAAATCTGGGCCACTTCTTGTGTCATAGCCCCCACAAACACTCCCAAATCCATCATAATCAGTGATGAGGTTTTAATCACAAATTACCAACTTCATTTGGGAACAACTAGATTTACTTTATTAGGAATAAATTTTGATGTTGACTTAGAAAAAGTGCTTGAAATGAATTTTTTGGATCCAATCCACACAGTCCAAGTCGAGTCAAGTTAATAATATGATGATTGGCATTTATAAATTCTTCTGTCGTGTTTCTAGTCGTGAAGAGTGGCGTTGGTTGTATGTCAGGGCTGTTTTCAGCTTTAGCAAGAGTTTGAGGCGCATGGGATATTTCTGCTCTACATGCGGCTATAGATGTTCTCTGTCACTCGGTAAAGTGAGTTGGAAGATCTTGTTAGGTCGTATAATTTTGGTCTTTTTATCCTGTTGACTTTCTCTTGTGCAAGTTGTTTGACACTTCTGATTTTACTCTCCTGGTTTTCATTGGAGCCCAAAAGGTTTGACATTGCTGATCTTGCAGATTTCTTGGCCTTCATCGGATCTTCCAAGATTAAGTGTCGAGAATCCTGAAGTTGTTCAGACATTGGCAACTGTACCAGATGAACACAATGCTTGCATTCAGATTCTCCTATCAAGAAAAATTGATTGATTTAGTCAGGCTAGCTTTTTTAAAAAGCTGTTACTTGTGCTGCAATTAAAAAGGGAACTTCCAAGTATAGACTTGCTTTAGAGATCTTCAAAATAGTTCATTGTCAGCAAAAACAATTTATCATTAAGTCAAACATGATGTTTTTAAATTCATTCAGTTGTTAGTGAGGCCATTACAAAAACAATAAATTGTCGAAGGATATTTGCGTACATTTATAAATGATGACAGGAGCACATAGCGGGTGTGACCGATCTGAAGGGGATACTCACTCTTCCATGGTACCTGATCCCACCTAGGATGTTTTCGGGGTACGTGTTTGATCTGCTGCAATTTTGCATTGTTTGATGGACTTTTGAGCTTGAATATTATTCGTTATTTCCATATTTTATTCATTCTAAAATTTCAACGAAATTGAGTATAGTGCGAATGTATGTTTAAAACCTAATTTTTTATTGACGTACGGTAAAACATGGGAAAATGTTTGGTCTGTTATATGATCTATGTATGACAAGACAAATAACAGATGTCCTAAGGCTTAGGACATTTAAAAAAAAAATTGGTTGCCCTCTCCCGGCCGGCTTAAATGGTCCGACTCAAAACTTCTTTTAACCTCCAAGAAGCAATATCTTATTTAAATAGTCTGGAAGTATAATTAAAAAATTAAAATTGACCGAAAATTTTAAGACCGAGTCGGGAGAGTGCAACCAGGTGACCTTGGATCAAATGATGATCCAATTTACAAAAAAATTAATTGGGGTTTATAAAAGATAAAGGTATGTTGAAACTCCCTACAAAAGGTACAAAGTTTCGATTAGGCAAACTTTCTATAAAAAACTTTTTTTATTCATATATAGGCCTATATATTCATATGTATATATAAAAAAAAAGTCGCAGTGTGGCGCAGTGTTGAGAGCGTCTGCTCCATGCAGTCGCGGATTAAGGAGGTGATCCTTAAATCGCAGGTTCGAATCCCACTATGGGACATGGAGACTGGGTCCGGCGGATGAGAGGTCCCTTGTTGCAGTAGGTGATGGCACGAAAAATATCGCTCACTGCTCAATGGCCGTAAGTGCCGAGAATAGAAAAAGGATAAGTGGTATTGTTTGGGGGAAAATTTGGTACTGGTAAAAGTTTGAGCCTAACAACCCCCACTACTGCCACCAAATAAGATTTTCAGGTTTGGACAATGGTCAAATTTCCTTTTATTTTTAGCTCACCTGAGCCGAAGGCTCAAGTGAGCTTTTCTGATCACATTTTGTCCGTCGTCCGTCCGTCCGTCTGTAATCTTTTCACATTT